CCCGCTGCCACGGCCAAGGGGGAAACTGAGGCACGGAGCTGCCACCCCGCTAGGGCTCAGCGTCCAAACGCTTCTGAATAGTTTGTGAGGGGCTGATGAGTGACGAGCATCGCGTGGCTCCACGGTTGAAATTCAAACACGGGGACCAGGAGAGAGAAAAATCCCCCAAATCCCACGGCCAGGTTACAAAAGGTTCCGGCAGTGCTGTGTGGTGTTGCTCCCCCTACCCACCTCCCCCTCCCGGCACCACGTTGGCAGTGTCATCCCCTTGGTCCTCACTGGGGTGGCTCTCGAGGTCTCAGTTCTGGGGGTGGTGACACCGAAAATGTTAGGATTTGTGCTGAGGGATAGTGGGGGGTGGGGGCTAGAATTTTGCCCCAAAAGCAATGCGACCCCCATGCCAGCCAAAGGGGATCATGCACCTGCACCCCCGTGTGCTTTCAGGGTGATGGGCTGCAGTCCAGCCTGGGAGGTTCTGAGCTGGGACCACGCAGGGTTCCTACGTCCTGCAGGACACCCCAAAACCCACGATATCACGGCTGCGCACCCCTGATGTGCACGGTGCAGCTCTGGGGTGCACGGTGCAGCCTGGACCCCAAACTAAGGGGACTTTGAGGCAATGGGATCCCAAACCAAGGGGACTCCGTCCCACGGGTGACCCCAAGCCAAAGAATCCCTGAACTAAAAACTAAGGGGACTCCAAGCCAAGGGAACCCCAAGCCATGATCCCACGGAGATCCCACCCCCAAGGGACCCCATCCCAATGGAACCCCCAACCAACGGGACCTCATCCCAATGGCACCCCATACCAAGGGGATCCCATCCCAAGGTGACCCCGAATCAAAGGGACCCCAAATCAAATGGACCCCATCCCCAGGGCTCCGTGCTCAGTGCAGCTGCCCTAGGGCCAGGTGGGGTGAGAGAAGGTGATGTTGTAGGGGGTGGCCCAGCTGGCAAAGACGCGCTTCTCGGTGATGAAGCGGTGGTGATTGCCGCGGCGGCTGCGCTCGTTGTGGATGTACGTCGTGCACTCGTCGGGGCCCTTGGGCTCGTAGTAGTGGTAGGCCATGCGGCGGGGCTGCGGACGCTGACTACAGGCAGACCGTGGGCTGAGCCCCGTGCTGTGTCCTGGGCTTGGGATTTGGGGATGGGGAGGCCCTTACCTGCAGTAGTTGGGAGGCACCATGCCGTAGACGTGGACGGTGTCGCACAGCTCCACCGCAATCCCCATGGTGAACCAACCTGTGCTCAACCACGAGCGCGACTTCTCTCTAGGGCACAGCGATGAGGTGACCCTCGTGGTGGCTCAACCCACCGGTGGGGACCCACAGAACACAAGGAGGGGAGGAGGAGCTCCCGGTACCTGTCCTTCCCCGTCTCCCCCCGAAAGAGCTCGTCGAACTGCTTCATGCGGTGCGGGGAGACGATGTAGGCTGTCATGTTGGGGAAGGATGCACCGACGCGTTGGATGATCTTCAACAGCCCCTTCTGCATCTTGGCCGGCGGCCCCCAGAAGATGAGGATGGTCTCCGGGGTTTTATTGACGAACTCTTGGGGCCGCTTGAGGACGCGGTAGACGCTGGAGTGGGCCACCACACGGAAGGTGGTCTTGTTGCCCACATCAGACTCATAGCCGGTGGTGGGAGCGTCGTTCATGCGGATGGTGCACTCGGTTTGGTCGATCTCAGCACCCAGGTGGGTGCCCAGGAGGTGGCTGGAGCTGGTGACGATGGCGCATTGGTGGCAGTGGGCAGTCAGGCTCTGAGGCGATGGACACAATGAGTCCAAACCAAGGAAACCCCAAAACACAGGGACCCCAAACAAAGGGGAGTCCAAACCATGGGGAATTCAAACCAAGGGGCTTTCAGTGTCCCACCCACGGGGACATTCCATCTCCATACCCACATCCTGTGCCCACCTTGTTCCCAGACACGGGCAGGTACCCGCTGCTCACCCCCCAGTGCCGCAGGTTGGGGGGCCGCCGGGCTCTGCCCCGCAGTGCACTGTAGGGGAACACCTCGGTCCCACTGCTGGAGCTGTAGATGATCAGCAGCATGAGCAGGGCGAAGAGAAGCACGAAGACGGCGGCGCGCTGGCTCTGCAGGTGGGGGACAGCATCAGGACCCCTTTCCAAGGGATGGGGATGGAGATCACCGGGATGATGCAGCCCAACTCCATCTCCCCTTGCTGGCTACAGGGAGCTAGGATAGGGATGGGGATGGGATGGGATAGGATGGGGACGGAGATGGGGTTGGGAATGGGGATGGCGATGGGGACATTCCTGTCCTTCCCTGCCCAGCCATACACACAGCTCCAGCTCTCCCAGTAGCAGCACTGCCTGCATGGCCGCAGGGCTTTAAGGAGAGAGGAGGAGGAAAATGCTTTACTGCGTGAGCACTCCTCTGAGCTGCTGCCAGCAGATCCCTGGCGCTGACACGGCCACCCCCAGCTCGGCCGTCCCGAATGGCTTTAAGGGGACTCGGGGTCCCACTCACCGTGCTGCCGCTCATGTCTCCGTGCTGCCCTCAGTGCCGAGTGACTGCCGACGTCCTGTGAGCACCTGCAAGGCACGCAGTCACCCCAAAAGCAGTGGGATCCCGTCCCCAAAACCACACCATGCACTGATCCCCACACCAGGCTTAGCCTTGGGCCGATTCCAGAGCCCTGAGGAGATTGGGCTCTCCTGGCTCAATCCTATTAAACTGGCCCCGGGGTGTTTGGGGTGCTCCCATGGGTACTTGCTGAGCAAGGGAACCCACTTATCCTCACTTCTCCCCACCCCCATGAACATTCTGAAGTCCTTCTCAGTGAGTCATTGCCACTCCTGCTGGGTCGTAGTCGTAGCAATTAGAAATTAAAAACAAAATGAAATCTGATTGTCTTGGGAGGAGCCAAGATGGAAAATTACACAGCAGCCGGCACGTAACCCTCCAGGGGGCCCTGAAAGGCTTTGGGGCTGGGAAGGCGCCAGCGTGCCTGGGGCACGGCCGGGATTTTCGGTGCCAGGAGTCCCAGGAGAGAGGGAACAGCGCTGGGAGCTCCGTCCCTGCACGGGGCTGAGGGGGCAGGAGAAGCGCGCAGCGGGTACACGGGGCGAAGAGGGGGGAGGTGGCAGCTCCGGGACCCCCGCTGGTCACCCCGCTCCTGCCGTGCAGGTCCCTTACCTGGGTGAGGGCACTCATCTGCAGCAGGTGCTGAGCGCTGCCGGGGGGTCTCCTCCACCTCCTCCTCGCCGCGCTCCCCCCGGGCTGTGCGGTGCTGCCGGGCCCCTCCGGCTGGCAGCAGGGCCATGGCGGTGCCCCGGGGTCACATCGCTCTCTGCTGGGGAAGCGCTGAGCCCTGCCTGCACCCCCGGTACAACAAACCCGGCTGCAGCTCCGCGGTACAGCCCTCACGTGCCGATCTACCCTTGCCGAGCACGCAGCCCCCCCCGAGCCCCTACAGCGCAAATCCACCCCAACCCTGGAACGCATCTGCTGCGCAACCGGGGATGCAAACCCTCCGCTACCCGGGATGCAACCCCCGGCACCCGCGATTCAAACCCACCGCTCCTCGGGGTGCAGCCCCCCGGTACCCGGGATGCAGCCCCTCCATCCCCAGAGAAACCAACCCCCGTACCCAGCACGCAGCCCCACGAACCCCCCCCGTTCTGTACGGCCGTGTCAGGCCGGGCGCAGCCGCATCCCGGCGGGGCGGTGCCGGTCCGTTCCCCGCACAGTGAGTGCCGCCCCCGCCGCCGCCGCGCATCCCCACCCGCACCGACGGCCCGAGCGCAGCCCGAGATCCGCTCCGCTCTGCTCCGCACTGCGCCGCCGCCGCCGCCGCCGCGCGCTCCCGAAGCCCGCGGGGCCGCGCTGTGCCGGGGGCGGGGGCGCGCGGGGGTCCTAACGCCGCCCGCCCCGACGGGACGGCCCCGGATTGGGCTGCGCGGGGCGCGTGGGTGGGTGCGCGCGTGACACTGCCGGGATACGGCGCAGCGCCGTGGGCTGAGCTCATCTCGCGGGGCTGAGAGGCACGGGGGGGCCCACGGGGCACTCTACCATGGAAACCGACACGAGTCTCCCGCCGCCCCGTAGATTTGCTGCCCCACAGCCTCGCTGCACCCATCCCTTGGCACACCGCGGCTCCCCGCATGACCCCATCCACCGGATCTCAGCGCCTGCTCCGTGCTCTGACCCCGTCCGTCAGATCCCCACCCTATTTATAGATGGACAAACCCAGCTGCCGCCCCGACCCCACGCACCTCCGTGTCCCAGCACTGCTGCGGGCTCAGCGTGGACTTAAAAATGCTTTTAATGGGCAAGTCGGCTTTGGTCTGAATCCAAGGGCACTTGTGGCAAGGCAGCTCAGTGCTGCGGGCAGGGGACACATGGGGGTTGTGGGACAGGGGGTCCCGGCCCCACTCCACGTGCCCCATATGTGGCACCAGGTGCCAGACCATCAGGGTCCATCCCACATTAAACATCCATCCTGCACGGCTCCAAGCCAGCTCAGGGCCTGCAGCTGGGGGGTCTCGGTGGATGCAGCCCTGTCCCATGCACTCCAACGCAACGGGGTCCCCACTGCTGCCCCCCCAGCAGCTGCAGACCCCCAATACCGGGCATACTGAGGGGCTTCCAACCGCACTGCCGCCGCTCCTACCCCCCTGCCCACGACGGGTGGGTGAAGATGATGTCCTTCCTCTTGGCCCAGCGGGAGAAGATGGCTTTTTCGGTGATGAATCGGTGCCCGGCGCGGGGGGCCTTCTCGTGCACCAGGTACATCCTGCACTCGTCCAGCCGCCCCTTCTCGAAGTAGTGGTAAGGCACACTCGAGTGGTTCTTCTCCCTGTCGGCACAGTGGGGGCTGAGCACGGTGCATCCCCGCAGCCCCCACTGCCACCCCCAGCCTCGCACCTGCAGTAGCTGTCGCTGACCATGCCGAAGACGCAGATGTGCTCGCACAGTTCCATGGCCAGGATCATGGTGAACCACCCCGTGCTCAGGAAGGAGCCGGATTTCATCCTGCAGGGCACAGCGGTGGGATGGGGACACGCAGACGGATGGAAGCGGCGCGATGGGGGCACCCAGCAGGGCCACGGTACCTGTTCTTCCCTGTCTCGTTCTGGAAGACGTCGTCGCAATACTCCATCTTCTCCTCAGTCAGCGTGTAGAGCTGCAGGTAGGGGTACATCTGCAGCACCCTCAGCAGCGTCCGGTACGTCGGGCCGCCCTTCTCGCGGCTCATCTTCCTGCTGGGACCCCAAATGACGTAGATGGTGTCTCGGGACTGCTGGAAGAAGTAGGGCTGGTTCCTGAGCAGCAGGGGGACGCTGGTGTGCGACACGACACGGACGGTGCTCCGTGTGCCCACGTCCTCCTCGAAGCCGGCGGTGGGGGCATGGTTCATGCGCAGCACGCACTCCTGCCCGTCGATTTCCCGGCCCAGGTGCGATCCCAGCATCTGCCCTGAGCTGGAGACGACGGCGCAGCGGCGGCACGGAGCTCTGCGCAGCAGCTGCGGGGATACGCACCGTCAGCACCGAGGATGGGGAAAACCGAAGCGCGGGGGACGGGGCCGCCCCACGGACCGACCTTCCCGTCGGGGACGCGGCTGTAGCCCTGCAAGCTGAGCGCTGCGGGCGCGGTGAACGCGGAGGCGTCCCTCTGCCCCACGGCCTCACGGCACAGCAGCACGTAGAACACGGAGAGCGCGGCCGCGCACACAAGGGCGAAGAAGACGCGGACCTGGAAGCGGAGAACCGGGGTTGCGCCGGGCTCGGCCGCGTGCCCACGTTGGATGCTGGAGGCAGCGCAGCCCGGCAGCAGAACTCTGCGAGGAGGGAGCACCGGGTTGCCGTGACTCACTTCCTGCACGCAGCCGGAGCCCACGCGTGCGGCAGTGACCCCGCGGGTTCCACTGTCCCCGCAGCGGGGACCAAGGGGTGCCCACCGGAGCCGCCGCACCGCGGGTATCCGGGCGCACAGCCCCGCAGCGCTGCAGGCTCATTCCATCCTTCCCCGCGATACTCACCAGCATCTTTATCCCGCGGAGCTGGGGCGGCCGTGGGTAACCAGGGTCACAGAGACGCTTGGGGCGTGCACCCTGCACACAGAGCGGGATCAGCGGGGGGGATCGGGGCCATCATGTCTGTGGACCCCCCGGTACCCAAAGGTCCCCTCCCACACGCAGGATGCGACCCCTACGCTCAACGTCTCCCTGAATCCTCCCATGCCTCACACCCAATCCCCCCACGTCCCGGACCCCCTCCATGCCCTGGGACCCCCCGCGTTTAGGACTTCCCCATTCCCGGTTCCCGTCCCCGTCCCGCCCCCAATCCCGTGCTCGGCGCCGAAGGGAGGAGCGCAGCCCGCCCCGCCCGGCCCCACTCACGACGCCGGGAGCCCCCGCTGGAGCTGCGGTGGAGATACCGCTGCCCACCCCCCAGGGCCGCCGTCGGGTCCCGCATCGCGACCGGGCCGCGCCGGGAGCACCGCGCTGCGCTCCGCTGGAAGAACCGCGCCGGGGGAGGCGGAGCTGAGCTGCACTGCCGGGACCGCCCCGCGCAGCGCCCCGAGAGCGGCACCGGCGCAGCGCTGCGGAACCCGTGTGCCACCCCTGTGCCCACCGCCCTGAGACCCGTCCCGTGCTTCCCGGTACCGACAGACCCGGCACTGACCTCAACTCCCATCGCGGTACCAACCCCAGCACTGCCCTGCGTCCCGTGTTACCTCCGCCCGAACACCCGTGCCGTGCTTCCTGCTACGGACACAGCCAGTGAGTCCCGGCACGCAGCCAGCACCTGCTCTGTGTGTCCCGGTACCGACAGACCCAGTACCGACCCCATCTCCCACACCAGAGCCCATTGCCCCCATTTCTCTCCCCCTCTCTCTTTGCACTGTGCCTCCCCACCCCGCGCCCTGGGATCCCTTCTATCCAGCCCCACCTCACCTCCACGCCCCACCGACGCAGGTGTTGCTGAGCTCAGTGCTGTGTTGAAAGCCCAGGGATCATTTTGGGACCAGGATTGGGGCCTCCTGCCCTGAGGTGTTGCCCGATGGCCTTATGTCAGCTACAGACAAGCTGCAGGACACGTCATGCAGTGCTACCCCCCTCCTGCTGCCGTAAGGTGTTCCTGGGGTTTTCCCCAGCCAGCAATAAGGAAATAAGAAAAACAAACTTGAGACTGGTTCCTACTCCCAAAAGGCTTTGGCAGCGATGGAAGAGGCAGTGACAGTGGCACAGCAAGCAGGGTGCACGGATCCACACACACAGCACAAAGCTGCATTCCGTGGCTGCACCCCACCATGTGCCCAGGCTGGGAGCTCAACACTGCGTGCTGAGAGGTGGTGAGAAGGAACGGAGGCACAGAGCCTGGGCAGGAACATGCAGTGCCATGACCTTCAGCTGGAGCACAGCCACCTCCTATCACACCAACAGGGATATTTTTAGGGGCACTGCCCTTTGCAGCAACACGGCCCCTGCTTGTCCCACACCAGGAGCACAAATGGGGCTCATTGCCAGCAGTGTGCACTCTCTCCTGCCCTTCTCCAGCAATAAAGCTCTGCATAGCTGCAGGAATTGGGCCAGGGTGATGGACTAGCCCTAGAAATTGAGGTCCTTGAGCACAATGGGGGCTGGGGCAACAGGCAGCAAGAGTGCACTGCCCCCAGGTCCCTGCAGGCCTTTGGGCCTGGTGCCTACTACTGCAGCCACCACGAGTGACAGCAGCTGGGCTCACACCCACAGTGCAAGCAGCACAGCAGGGGAGAGGGCTGGCTGGGGAAGGAGGCTGGAGCTGCACCTCTGCACTTGATGTGGGAGGAGAACAAAGACCTTAGAGACCTTTATTGAGGATAAATCCAGCTCACTACAGTCATTGGGAGCTGCTGGCAGCCCAGGTCAGGGCTGGCCCAGTGCAGGCAGGAGTCCAGGCTGCAGCTGACAGCTGTAGTGAGAGCTGCATTCAGTGGCAGTAGAGCCAAATGCTGCCTCTGCCATGCGGGGCATGCTGTGTCCTCAGTCGGGTGACTGTAGGAGGGGATGTGGGTGCAGCATGTGCTTTACAAGCACAGCTCACAGGGCCCTCTTCAGAAAGACAAGAGCTCACAGCACCAGCATCAGCTCTTCCAGTTAAAAAAAAAAAAAAATTGCAGAAGGAATAAACTACTGTATGCAGCAAGAGCAGAGGGGAAGGATTACCCAGAGGCCAAGCACCTGATGAAGGCCAGAACTGAACTCACACTCTGCAACTACAGCTGCTGGACCCTGAAAGATTCCAGCCCAGCACAGCTGCTGCACGTAGCCTCAGCTGGGGCACAGATTTGTCCTAGCTGGACTTCTGGTCCCTCTCCTGGTAAGTCCTGTAGGTCAGTTTTGCTTCCCTTTAGTCCATAAGTTGTAAACTATGCAAGTCTGCATCTTTGGAGGAGGGAATGTGGGAGACAGAGCAGCCAGCTTGGCACTGCTGCTGCTTCGAGAGTGCTCTGGAGGAGGTGACTGCTTGCAGGCTGGCTCCTCCAAGCCCGGGTGCTGCAGGGTGGGGGCCTCCTCTCCATCTCTCAGCTGGGCCTTCAGTCTGATTTCCTGGCAGGTTTTCTGCTCTTCCACATCACAACCATTATAAAAACACCTACCATGAGAGAGAGAGAACAGACTCAGTCCAAAAATACCAAATAAAAAGCACCTTTAAAACACATAGTGAGTAATGGAACCTCAGCAGAGCACAAGAAACAATTTTAATGCCCAGAGGAACAAACAGCTGAAGTTACACGTGTGCACACAAATGCCTGAGCCAAATTAAGCCACTGCAGGAACCACGAGCAGCTCATCACAAATGTCTCTTCTCCCTTCCCAATTTAGAACCTTCTAATTAGAGCAACGAAAATAACACTCACCTATAAATAGCAGCAGCAGCAGCCCAGCCACCACGGGGATGATAACTGCATACTCCCTGGGCAAGAAGTAGTGGTGGATGCTGTGGTCACTATCAATGAAGGGCTGCAGAAACAGAGTGGGGCATTAGCAGGTGGCCACAACATGAGAGCAAGTCACCAACACGTGTGGCCCTGGGGTTTCAAAAGCAGATCGGAAACACGGGGCTCTAGGGGACTGCTAATAAAAGAGTGTCTGAACCTGCACGTGGTGAAGCCTCACACAACAGCACCACAGCTGCAGAGAATGGCTGGAAAGTGGACTCCAGTGCTCAGATGGGTGATGAGGAGAGAGCAGGAGCCCAGCCACGGCCCTGCAGTGCTGGGGTTTATGGTGGGCTCAGCTGTGTGGTGTTGGGGCACACCAACCCCCAACCTTCTGCCTTCTTGAAGGGAAAGGCTGATACTGCTCTCTCTCATACTGATCCTGTCATGGCTCCTTTGCTGAGAACAGCAGAAAGCTTTGGATGCTAGAGTGCACCGCAATGATTCCTGCACTGTATGGAGGGAACCCAAGATCCTCAGATAGGAAACTGCCAGGAGTTCAGTTGCGAATCCAAGACTAAGCTGGTGCCTGGAAAACTGACAAGGAGACATTTCTATAAAGAACACCACTAATGACCCCAGCTGCTGAATCCTGAGAAGCAGTCACACTGCCAGACTCAGAATTCTCCAGAGCTTGGTGTTACTGAACCCTTCTCCTCCCTGCTGGGCTCCGGTCTAAGTGAGAAGCATTTCTCTCTATGACTCCATCTGTCACCTCCACCAGCACCATAACTCTGAAGGTGTGCACAAGGCCCTATGAGCACCCAGGGTCCAGGTCTGGCTCGCACTGGCAGCCCCCACCACCCCCAGGCAGTACAGGAGCACTGAGGGTGAAGCCAAGCTCACTGAGCGCGGGTCGGGCCAGCACAGCTAGAAGGTGAGGGCTGTGCCACCAATGCCAGGAGGCTCTGCCCCAGCACTTCCAGCAGGACGCCGGCACAGCGTGCTCCTTCAGCATCTAAACAAGATCTGGAGGCTTGACTTTACCAGGCCCTAAGAACCAGCGCGAGCCCCGCAGCCTCGTACCAGCACGATGATCCACAGCGTGTAGTACACGAAGAGAACGAGGCTGAAGGCTACCAGGCCGAACCCCACCGCTCTGTCCGTCGCCGTGGCCTGCAAAAGGAGAGAGATTCAGGGCTCCGTGGGAGCGGCGCCGGCTGTCCTGCCACGGGCTGGAAGAGAACCCGGCACGAGAAGGGAAAGGAAGGCAAGGGGAGTCCAGGCCCCGGCCCCACTCACCATGGCGACGGCCACCCCCAGCCCTTCCGCCCGCCCTGTTCTTCCGGGAGCGACTCACCAATCAGCGCACAGAACTATGCCCACGTGATCTCCGCGACCGGAAAGCGCCTATCGGAAGGGACGGGCTGAGGAGCGCGAAGCATTGTGGGAAGCAGGACTCGCCCGGAGCATGATGGGAGCTGCAGTGCCGGGGTGCTCGGGCTGCGGGCTGGCGTAGAGAAAATGGCCAAATTCTGGGAGCCCTGCAGCTCTTAGCCAGTATTGCTGAACAAAAAATACACTCAGAACAACAAAAAGACCACAGCAAAACCAGAAGGATCAGTGTGAAGTACCAAAAAACAAACTTTATTTTCCCCCAAACCATAACAACATTTGACATTATATTGATTTCCTCATATATTTGTTATTTCTCTACGTTAGGAACCAGATACAGAAAATACAAACACGATCTGTTGAATCAAAGACGGCACAGCATTCCGTTAGAAAATGAAACAAAAAAAAACCAAACTAGAGGAGCGAGATAGAAATGGTGAAAAATAGTCCTTCCCAGCCCCAACTTCCCAAGAATCATCATCAAAATAGAGCAGTGGAAGTAGCTTCTCTTTCTAAACGCACTTCTGCTTTAAGAAAAAAGTTAGAGATTTATCTTTAGATTTCAAAGTAAAAAAATGTTAAACTATCTCTTCAAGCAATTTTGGAAGTTTGCATAGAGCCGTTCCCTTTCCAAAAATATCAGCCATCTCTCTATAGAATCTGATATAAATCAAGTGCCTCATCCGAACATCGCCAAGCTCAACTGACTCTCATGAAAATAAAACAGGATCTCCCCTTCCCCTCCCTCCCCCCACAAAAATACGGGCTCTACCATTAATCCTTACAGTTGAGGCAAGTGAAAAGGCTCAGCCACACCTCGAGCTCAAAGCTTCACCCAGCCACGTTCCTTTCATCTCCCAGCTTTTCAGCGTGGTGGTGCGGTGGGCTGATGGATGACGCAGCAAACGGGAGAGAAAGGGGGGGGGATCTGCATGCACCCCCCAACAGCCAGGAAGTGGTTTTTCAGTACAAACACTTGCGACCAGGCAGTGTTTGCTGTAACCTGCCCCTGGGGACCAGCCTTGTCCACAGGGCTAAGTCACCAGGGCATTTACTCAGCTAAAGCCCAGGAGGGGTGCGGGCAGGGCTGGGGGGGGAGTTTGCAGCCCCCGGGTAAGGCAGCGAGCAGGGGAGCGAGGGGAGGGCAGGACAGCCCCTCTCCAGGAGGGGTTTCTTTCACCGAGGTGCTTTAGCGTACCTGGAGTGAGGTTTTCCCAGAGGTTCACAACAGCGTGTGCAGAGTCCAGCTGCACAGCCACCAGTTTTAAAAAGAAAATAGCAACAACAAAATAAATTAAAAAAAAAAAAAGTCAACCCCTCCCATCAAGATTCAAATGAAAGACGTTTCTTCGGGTCTCAGCCCAGTTCAGAACCCTCTAAAAACTGAAGCAAACATTAAAAAAGGGCTTTAACTTTCTGCAGGGGGCAAAGAGATGTGGCAATAAGAGGGGAGGGGGGAGGAAATAGATCACAAACTTGCTGCCCATCACCTCACAGACAGCACGAATCCTCCCCTCCCTCCCCCCCCCCAATTTAAAGTGCCAACCATTCCCCAAACAAACAAAAGAAACCCCAAAAAACAGAGGAGCAACATCCTTCTCCCCCTTTTTTTCCAACCACCATTTCCAAATGATACTCATTTCCTTCACCAATTCACAACCAAGCCTATCCCTTTGGACATGTACTCAGTTCAAACTGGTTTTTAAAAGTTAGTTAAAAAAAAAAAACAACCGACACTGAATTTTCCACCAGAGGCTTCCACCAGAGGTCCAGGAGCCAAGAGCAGAGCCCACACGTCTTGCCTGGCCCTCAGCCTGGAGCACAGAGCCAGCTCTGCTCACCAGGGCCAGGGACGCAGGGTGTTTGTTGCCAATAAGGCC